CTCAAAAAAAAAAAAAAAAAAGAATATACCTTGATTTGTTTTGCATATTTTGAAAAGTTCTCAAAGTGCTGATCTTGTCAGTGTTTCCTGTTCCTTTTGAGAAAAGTCAGAATAAAAGCCATACCTTATTTAATGTGTATGTTTTTAAAAGTCTCTTCTTACCTTGTGGTGATCTTTTAAATAAAAACCTTTGTTAAAATACTCTTCAGGAAACAAAGTCATTCACTACTCTGTGTGTGCATCTCCTTATTTAATTCTCATAAGAGATAGAGCCAGGTGCTCTATTACCTGTAATCCCAGCTACTCAGGAGGCTGAGGCGAGAGGATCACTTAAGGCCAGGAGTTCCCGACCAGATTGGGCAACATAGTGAGACCTTGTCTCTAAAAATTTTTTTTAAAGAGATAGAATAACTTCTATACTGGTGACTTTACATTATTATTCTCAATGTTAAGAAAAAGGTGAGAAGGGAATATAATTTCTCCTGTTACATCTGCTATCGAAGACCAGGAAACAGCAGATGCTGCTGACTCTTTAATTTCTTACTTGGTTGCACAGATCTGGGAGACTCAATTCTAGAGCTAGCTGAGAGCTTAAAGATAATCTCATCCGTCATTTGTAAAACATTTTTGACCACGGTGTATGATATAGGCTTATGTTTTATATTCTGCCTCAAAAATTTTGATTGAGACCTTCAAAATGATCCACAGTTTAAAAAACACACTGGTCTAACCCAACCTTACTTCACAGCTAAGGAAGCAGAGTTATAGATTTGAAGTGAATAGAGGCATGCATGTAATTGTTTGAGCACAAGGATCTGAACAAGTTTTCCTAAATCCTGACAGTCTTTTTTTAATTAAAAAAATATATATTTAATTACATAGCATACACTAGCCAGTGTTTTTTTCTTTTCTTTTCTTTTTTTGAGTCGTAGACTCACTCTGTCGCCAAGGCTGGAGTGCAGTGGCACGCTCATGGCCATCACAGCCTCAACCTGCTGGGCTCAGGTGATACAAGCCTCAGCTTTCCAAGTAGCTGGAACTATAGGCATGTGCCACCATGCTCGGCTAATTTTTTAATTTGTTGTAGAGATGATTTCTTGCCAAGTTGCCCAGGCTGGTCTCGAACCCATAGGCTCAGGCAGTCCTCTCACCTCGGCCCCCCAAAGTTCTGGGATTATAGGCATGAGCCACCGCACCTGGCCAGCCTGTGTTTTTTTTTCACACTAGATTTGAGCCAGTGTTAACTCTTGCTTACCAAAGATCTCCTTATTGTGAAAATATATACATAGAAATTAGGATAATGGAATTTTAGGTTATAAGTGAAGTAATATGGGTTCTTTTTTTTAGAGGAACACCTACACGAATATTCCCACACCACTCCGTAACTGAGTCTATTAACTATGATGTGAAGGTGTTTGGATCTTCTCTCCCTGTTAAGATCATGGAAGCCCTAGCATTGGCTGAAGGTAGGTGTCATCTTTCTATTTGCTTCTACTAGCAGTTCAAAATGAAGCCTAGATCTGGCATGGAGGTTGACTTTTTGCTTTCTCTGGTATACCTTTACCTAAATGGAGAGAAATGAATAGCCTATCTAGTTTTTCACTATAACTGAGCCACATAATACATTTGAGAATCAGAATGAGTTCATTTTCTAACAACACAATCAAATTAAGTATTGAATGGTTTTAGTTCCATTCAGTAGTCCCCCCTTATCTTTGTGAATCATGTTCCAAGACCCCCAGTAGATGCCTAGTATTTAGATAGTACCTCATCCTGTGTATGCTATGTTTTGTTTTTTGTTTTTTTTTTCCTGTAGTTACTTACCAATGATAAAGTTTAATTTATAAATTAGGGAAAGTAAGAGATAAACAACAACAATAATAAAGTAGAACAATTGTAACAGCATGCCAGCAGCATTACTCTTGTACTTTGGGATCATTATTAAGTAAAATAAGGGGTAACATAAACACAACCCTGCAATACCATGACAGATGGCTACTAAGTGACTAATAGCCTGGTAGTGTCTATAGTATGGATAGCTGAACAAAGGCTCTGGATGGAATGTAGCAGGACCATGCAAAATTTAATTGCTGCTCAAAGCAGCATGCAATTTAAAACTTAAGAATTGTGTATTGGAATTTTCCGTGTATTTCAGACATTGGTTGACCACAGGTAATTGAGATCAAAAATAAGAAAGGAAGCTGGGCTCAGTGGCTCAGCCTGTAATCCCGCGCCTTTGGGAGGCTGAGGTGAGTGGATTGCCTGAGCCCGCAGGTTCAAGACCTGCCTGGGCAGCGAGACCTCATCTCTACAATAAATCAAAAAATCAGCCTGGCATGGTAGCGCATGCCTGTAATTCCGGCTACTCGGAAGGCTGAGGCAGAAGGATCGCCGGAGCCCAGCAGGTCGAGGCTGCGGTGGCCGGGAGCAGCCACTGCACTCCAGTCTGGGTGACCGAGTGAGACTCCGACTCAAAAAATAAAAATAAGAAAGGAATATTGTATGTAAAATTCAGTCCAGTTTCAAAAGTTTATTGGGCATATGAAGTTTGGCTTTAAAAAAAAAAAACCCAAAACTATTGCCTCACCTCATTGGGTTTAGTATTGTAGTCAAGTCCAGTCCTAACTCCATTTCTGGATCCTGTGTAGTATACTAGAGTCAGTATGTACAAAGTCATGATGTTACCAGTGTGATGTACCTTTAGAAGATTCTGTTGTCAGAGAATCAGAGTATCAGTGTGGAAGTTTGGCAAGTGCAGTCAACATATGCTCAAAAAGGCAACATTAAAGATGAGGAGTTGGATGACAGGGAAGAGCAGAGTTCAGTGTGCCTTGAAATCACCCAGGTCATTTTTATTAAGGACTCTAGATCTTTGTGAGTTTTCTAGAACAGTTTTTTCAAATTGTAGATGTGACTGAACTCAGTTTAGTGGTTCATGACCAGTATTAAAACAAAAACACACACATAAGAAATGGCATAGAATTCATCTCATATACTGTTAAACAACTTTTGTTAGTTTTATTTAAATTGTGTGTGAATGCATCATGATGTAAAGTGTATTTTGTACTGTGAATAATAGTGAGAAAAGTTTAAAGTGATCAATTCTAGAAGAAGTATTTCTCATCAATCTGAACTTGCATATCTTGCCTGTTCTTACCTGCATGTTCTTGGGGGCTTTAGGGGTAGTTGTTTTCAAACAACTAAACTGCTAACAATGCGCATTGTTCTATTTTAAATAAATATAGCTACATATGTATGTGAATGTATTTTCCCTCTCTAAAAATTTCAGTTTACCTTACATTTTTTTCAAGTTGGAGTCTCACTTTGTTGCCCAGGCTGGTCTCAGTGACCCACTGCATGGCCTCTACAGCCTCCACCTGCTGGGCTCAGGTGATCCTTCCATCTCAGCCTTCCAAGTAGCTGGAACAATAGGCACACTCCACCACGCCCGACTAATTTTTGTAATTTATTGTGGAGACAAGATCTCACCAAGGTGCCCAGGCTGGTCTCGAACCCCCGGGCTCAGGCAGTCCTCTCGCCTCAGCCTCCCAAAGTGCTTGGATTACAGGCTGAGCCACCACACCTGGCCTACATTACTTTTAAAATTTTTAATATAATCCTTCTGGTTCATGCCACCAGAGTATGGTAATAGCAAATAATACACAGCCTCAGATCTAGAAATTCAGAGAGAGAGTCCCTACAGATCAGGATGTGTAAACTTAAGAGATGTATAAACTTAAAGAACTTTTCTCTACGTGGAAACCTACAAGTTCTATGTTAAGTCAGCCCTCAAGGGCTCCCCATTTGAGGATCAGAAGCTACTGTAGTGCCTTCTGGAAAAATGAAGTTACTGAGCACTTATTTTAGTTCAGCAAAAAGCCCACACTTTGCCTAGGCTTTGTTTGATATTTTAGCTTGTACATTATTGAGCCTTTTATTTTGTCTCTCCACCCTGCCTTTAAGCATAGGACAAAGTGCAAATAAGTTAATTTTCTAGGGCTGTTAGCACATTTATGGAGGTTTATCACCAATGCTTTTTTTTTTTTTTGAGTTGGAGTCTCACTCTGTCGCCCAGACTGGAGTGCAGTGGCACACTCCTGGCCACTGCAGCCTCGACCTGCTGGGCTCTGGCGATCCTTCCGCCTCAGCCTTCCAAGTAGCCGGAACTACAGGCGCGCGCTACCACGCCCGGCTGATTTTTTGATTTATTGTAGAGATGAGGTCTCGCTGCCCAGGCGGGTCTCGATCCCGCAGGCTCAGGCAATCCACTCACCTCAACCTCCCAAAGGCGTGGGATTACAGGCTGAGCCACCGAGCCCGGCTACCACCAATACTTAAGACATAACAATATGCTAATCTAATTTTGTCATTTAATGGAGAATATAACTGTGTCTTCATAAAATGGGGTAATTTATCTTACCTTTAAGGAGCTCTTATTTGAAAATCATGTTCTTTTGAAGCAACATGACTTTTTTGGGGGAATGTTTTATATAGCTAATGAGAGGTTTATTGTTTGTGTTGCTTTATCAATAAAATTATCAGTGTTGCTAAATATCTCTTATGGAAAATAAGCCACATGCCATGGCTCATGCCTGTAATCCCAGCACTTTGGGAGGCTGAGGCAAGAGGACTGCTTGAGGCCAGAAGTTTAAGATCAGCCTAGGCCACATGGCAAGACCCCACCTCTCTATAAAAAAAAAATTAGTCAGGTGTGGTGATGGGCACCTGTAGCCCCAGCTGCTCAAAAGGCTAAGGTGGAAGGATCACCTGAGCCCAGGAGGTTGAGCTTGCAGAAAGTGGTGATTGTGTCACTACATTCCAACCTGGGCAAGAAAGTGAGACCCTGACTCAGAAAAAAGGGGAGTGAGGTGGGGAAATGAGATATCTGATCTATTTATAAGAAAAGTTGAGGAATATTAAACCTAGGCCCAAATACACTTTTTGCCTTTTGGTATGTTTCTAAAGATGGTTGTCAAAGTTAAATAGATGTTTAACTATAATAATTAGATGTTGGTAGTTACTGAGTATTGAAAAGTCTTTTTTGTTTGTTTGTTTTTCTTTTGTTTTTTGTTTTTGAGTCAGAGTCTCACTCTGTCTCCCAGGCTGGAGTGCAGTGGCAAGATCATGGGCCACCGCCGCCTCGACCTGCTGGGCTCCGGCGATCCTTCTGCCTCAGCCTTCCAAGTAGCTGGGACTGCAAGTATGAGCCTCCACACTTGGCTAATTTTTTTATTTATTGTAGAGACGAGGTCTCTCCATGTTGCCTGCCTCAGGCAGTCCTCTCGTTTCTGCCTCCCAAAGTGCTGGAATTACAGGCACGAGCCACTGTACCTGGCCCCATAGTTTTTTTGTTGTGAACTAACCATTCCTGTTTGTGACAATTACTTTTTTTAGTGAAGCATGTGGTAATAAAGAAGGTTTTGGTGTAAGAAAATTCTGGCAGCCGGGCTCCGTGGCTCAGCCTGTAATCCCGCCTTTAGGAGGCTGAGGTGAGTGGATTGCCTGAGCCCGCGGGTTCGAGACCCGCCTGGGCAACTTGGCGAGACCTCATCTCTACAATAAATCAAAAATTAGCCGGGCATGGTAGCGCGCATCTGTAGTTCCAGCTACTTGGAAGGCTGAGGCAGAAGGATCGCCAGAGCCCAGGAGGTCGAGGCTGCAGTGGCCGGGAGTGGCCACTGCACTCCAATCTGGGCAACAGAGTGAAACTCCAACTCAAAAAAAAAAAAAAGAAAGAAAATTTTGGCAATATTTTATATTCATACTGTAAGATTAATTATACATCTCATTTTTCCTTTAGTTGATGATCAGCTAAGTGTTTGCATAGATGAAAGTGGATGGGCTTGTCTGGTCTTCAAAGAGAAACTCATTGTTTGGAAGATTGCTCTGGCACCTATTACTAAGGTAATGACTCTGTAGAAGTTAGAAGGAGATAGAGGAGAGGAGGGATACCAATTGGTTTTTAATTTTCACCCCAGTTTTTAAGATGGAGGATAGTAATCTGAGTCTACTCGGCATTCTCTGTCGCCCAGGCTGGAGTGTAGTTGCACACTTACAGCCACCCCAGCATCTACCCGCTGGGCTCCGGCGATCCTTCCACCTCAGTCTTCCAAGTAACCAGAACTATAGGTGTGCACTACCACACCCAGCTAATTTTTGATTGTCGTAGAGATGGGGTCTCACCAAGTTGCCTGGGCTAGTCTCAAACCCGCGGGCTCAGGCAATCCACTTACCTTGGTCTCCCAAAGTCCTGGGATGACCGGCTGAGCCACCGAACCTGGCCAGGATTTGCATTTTTATAGTGATAGGAAAACTGAGCATGCATGCACATTTGTATATTAGGAAAAAAATTCTCCTCTTTAATAATTTTTAAACAAATTCATGTTATTTACATTTAATGAAATTAGATACATTGAAATTTCCAATAAATATAATGCTGATCAGTCTGCCTAAGGAAATCTAAGACTAAGTGGTCTCCACATATGCAAAAGAACTGAGTCTGCTTATTTCTGAAAAGGCAGGGTTATGTTTTATTGAATCTACTGAATGATTCTTAATAAAGTAGAGAAAATGATATCAATTGCTAATTTAACTTTTAGCTATCAGCTTCCAACAGTGGATTTTCATTGTCTGTCTAGTAACTGTATGTGTAGTAAATAATCCTCAGCAAACTCTTTTCTGTTTCTTACATGCAGAGCATTCTGTTGCCCCACACCAAACTCAGTGGGCCATTTTTCCTTTGGAATCCAGGGTTTCTGCCTACCTAAACTCTCCATGTCTACTGTACTCTGTGCTTTGCTGCCTAGAAAATAGCATCTGTAGTGAGGAGTGATAGGGGAGGGAAAAGTCCTGGGAGACATGTTGAATTAGCAGAGGGATCCTGACGTTTGGCTGAGAGTCTAAGAAATATTTTCTAGAAAGCGTGGTATAATTACTCTTTGGTCATGCTAATTTTAAATGTTAAATAAGCAAATCAAGGCTAGACTGAGAAAGTTCCATAGGAAATCTAAGCACTTCTCTTAACCAATAAACTTTTTTTAGCCGTGGCAGAGATTGGGATTGTTGATATTCAGGATATGGTTTAACTCTTAAGTTTTCCTGATTCTGAATCTCTTAGGCTACTTTGTTTTCAGATTACTGAAAACCTGATCAAAAGGAGATATAAAAAGAAAGAATAGGATGGTGTTTCCAGCAATGAGTCAGAATCTAAAATATGCAGAGAAAAGAAATAGAGAAGTCAGATGCTAATGTTATATTCTTTATAAAAAAGAGAAATGAGATGTATATTCAAAATATGGGATTTGATGTGACAGATTTTCTGTTTGGGTTTGTCTTACAGTTATCTGTTTGCAAAGAACTTCAGCTGCCACCTAGTGATTTCCCCTGGAGTGCTGACTTGGTGGCTCTCTCTTACTCTGGCACCTCAGGTGAAGCACCTTCTACTCAGGTAAGTGACTTAAAAACTTACTGAAACAAACTTGTAATTTTTTATTGTTTTAATTTTTTGGGGGGGTCATTCTTACTCTGTTGCCCAAGCTGGTATACACTGGCATACTCATGGCTACTGCAGCCTCAACCTGCTGGACCCAGGCAGGCCTTCTGCCGCAGCCACCCAAATAACTGGGACTTCAGGGGCACCCCACCACATCCAGCTAATTTTTTGATTTATTGTAGAGATGAGGTTTTGCCAAGTTACTCAAGCTGATCTTGAACCCCTGGGCTCAGGCAGTCCTCTCACCTCTGCTTTCCAACGTGCTGCAGTTGCAGGTGTGAACCATCATGCCTGGCTGGAAACAAACTTTGTAAAATAAAGACATTCTAAAGGCGGAGGACTCATCTGCCCTCATTTTGAGCCGTAACTATAAAATTATAGTAATCAAAATATTGTGATATTGGCAACGAGAGAGAGAGAGACACACAGGTCAGTGTAACAGAATGGAGAATACAGTTATAGATCCACGCAAAGGTGGCCATTTGATTTTTTACAAAGGTGAAAGCAATTCAATGGAGAAAAGATGCCCATGCGCCCCGCCCCCCCCAGTAGGAGTCTCACTCTGTCGCCACTCCCGGCCACTGCAGCCTCGACCTGCTGGGCTCCGGCGATCCTTCCGCCTCAGCCTTCCAAGTAGCTGGAACTACAGGCATGTGCTACCATGCCTGACTAATTTTTGATTTTTGTTGTAGAGATGAGGTCTCGCCAAGTTGCCCAGGCAGGTCTTGAACCCGCGGGCTCAGGCAATCCACTCACTTCAGCCTCCCAAAGGCGCGGGATTACAGGCTGAGCCACCGAGCCCGGCTGATGGTCTTTTCATTAAATGGTATAGAAACAACTGTGGTCGTTTGTAATTTTTAAAAAATGAACTTTACCCCAAACCTCACACTTTATACAAAGATTAATTTGAAATGAATCATGGATCTAAATGTAACATGTAAAACTAAAACTTTTAGAAGAAAACGTGGGAGAAAATCATCATGACCTGAAGTTAGGCAAAGAGTTATTGGAAGTAATCAAAGTCATGATCTATAAAAGAAAAAAATTGATAAGATTAAAATTAAATTAAAATAAGATCAAAATTTAAAACTGCTATGCCAAAGACAAGAAAATGAAGAGACTAGTTATGGGCGGGTGGGAAAATATTTGTGAATCATATACCCAACAAAAGATTTGTGTTCAGAATATAAAAAAGAACTCTCAAAGCTTCGTTCAAAAATTATCCAATTTAAAAGGACAAGGGACTTAAAGAGGATAAAAGGGTGACACATTAAGCACAGTAAGAGATGTTCAGCATCATTAGCCATTAGGGAAATGCAAATTAAAACATCAACGAGTTCTTGCTTCTGGTTTTTGTTGATCAAAGAATAAACTATTTCCTGTTTCTTTTTACCATTGTCATTAGCCTCCCAGTGTTTGAGTGAGTTCTTCCTTTTTTTGTGATTGCTGACTGTCTTATCTTGTTTCCAGGCTGTTGCTGTCATGGTCGCCACCAGAAAAGGATGCATCCGCTATTGGCCAAGCCTTGCCAGTGAAGACACCTTCACAGAGACTTTTGTGGATTTGGGAGGTGACAAGACTTACAGTTTCCTTACAGCAGTGCAGGTATATGATGAATATTTCTTTATATTTATTGGGAAGCTATGGTTTGGCTTGGAAGTGAGATTCGAATGACTAAAAAGTGGAATTTTAAACAGACCATAAAGGCCAGGGAGGCATCAAAAGAGATAAGGAGGAGAAGAATTTAAGGATCTAGAATTTGAGCATTTATACAAAGGAGGCCCTTCTTACAGGACTCTAAAATATCTATATTGGATAATAGCTAGTAGTATTCATTTATCTTAAAAACATTTTATTTTGTTTTATTTATTTTATTTTATTTTTGAGTTGGAGTTTCACTGTGTTGCCCAGGCTGGAGTGCAGTGGCACTCTCACGGCCACCCCAGCATCGACTCCAGCATCTAGAGTCCATCCAGTGATCCTTCTGCCTCAGCCTTCCAAGTAGCCGGAACTATAGGTGCACACTACCGCGCCCGGCGAATTTTTCATTTATTTATTGTAGAAACGAGGTCTCGCCAAGTTGCCCAGGCTGGTGTCGAAACCGCCGGCTCAGGTAATCCACTCGCCTCGGCCTCCCAAAGTGCTGGGATTAGAGGCTGAACCACCGAGCCTGGCCTAAAAACATTTTATGAGTATCTTAAAAACGTAGACATTGTGAAAACATGATTTGCCAGTGTCTACTTTGCAGGTTCACCAGAGACATAAAATCTGATACCTGATTTGTTGAACCTGCAGCATGGTGAAGGAATTTCTAAATATACTAACTTTACTTATACTAACTTTAGAAATCAAAATTTTAAAAAATGTTTGGCTGGATACAGTTGCTCATGCCTATAATCCTAGCACTTTGAGAGGCTGAGGTGGGAAGATGCTTGAGCCCAGGAGTTTGAGGTCAGCCTGGGCAGCATAGCAAGTCCTTGTCTCTACAAAAAAAATCAGCCAGGTAAGGTGGCACATGCCTGCAACCTCAGCTACTTGGGAGTCTGAGGGTGAAGGATCACCTGAGCCCAGGGGGTTGAGGCTGTGGTGAGGTGTGATAGTGCCACTGCACTGTCAAGCCTGGGAAGCAGACTGAGACCTCTCAAAAAAGAATTTTTCTTTCTGCTACAGAAGTTTTTCTAGGTAGAATTAACATATGCTTAATGGATTCTTAGGTCAAGTATTTTAATGCAATAACATTGTTTTATTTGTTTTTCTTTTAGATTTATTTAAGGTAGAGATAACTTTTCTCTGGATCAGAGTGTTTTTTTGTCAGTTTTCTTTTTATCTTAGTGCTTAACTGAACTACTCTCACAATATTTGTTCACAGGGAGGAAGTTTTATTTTGTCCTCATCGGGAAGCCAGCTAATTCGGTTGATACCTGAAAGCCCAGGGAAGATTCATCAGCATATCCTGCCTCAAGGGCAAGGGATGCTTTCAGGAATTGGTCGAAGGGTTTCCTCTCTGTTTGGAATTTTGTCTCCTAGCAGTGATCTCATAGTAAGTTTATACAGTAACTGCTAATAAGCTTTTTTCTTATTGAAATCAATAAGGTGAAAATTCCCTGTAAGGTTGGTATCGATTCCGTATGAACAACAGCATACACAAAATAAAACCTTTAGTCTTTTTCGATGGATTGTTTTTATTTTGGATTGTTTTTATTATGATAATCAAATGTGTTCATACTAACCCTCCCCATACCTATAACATTAATATTCTTAAATCAGACAGATTATCTCATAAGTACATTTTCTTAGTTTAAACTATTACATAACATTTTAAATGTACTTCTTAAGGACTAATTTGACTTTTTAGACATTTCCAGAATTGTGTCTCCATTCCATGACTCCATCTATCTGTGTAGATGTCTTACATCTAGATCTGCTAGCAGGACTTCTGCCCCATATGCTAGCATAGTGTGGGAGGATGATGAGAACTAGCATTTATTGAGCATCTGCTCTCTGCAAGGTGCACTGTAATTGCTTTCTCTGTATTGTGTAATCACTCCAACAGACTGTAAAGCAGAGAGCTTTCCTTCCAATTTACAGATAAAATGGTCTCAGTGAGGCTAAGATTATATAACTGCTGAGTGACTGAACTAGGAGTTAGACCCAGGCCTGTCTAAATTTAAAGCACATGCTCTTTTTACTGTGCTATTTCCCTTGATTTCAGGTAGCTGACGTCACCTGCTTTCTTGACTGTTTTTTGAACCTGAAACTTAACATACTTAAAAACAAATTTAGAGCCAGGCTCAGTGGCTCAGCCTGTAATCCCAGCACTTTGGGAGGCTGAGGTGAGTGGATTGCCTGAGCCTTCGGGTTCGAGACTCGCCTGGGCAACTTGGCGAGACCTCATCTCTACAAAAAAATCAAAAAATCAGCCAGGCATGGTAGCGCATGCCTGTAATTCCGGCTACTCGGAAGGCTGAGGCGGAAGGATTGCTGGAGCCCAGCAGGTCGAGGCTGTGGCGGCCGGGAGTGGCCACTGCACTCTAGTCTGGGCGACAGAGTGAGACTCCGACTCAAAATAAAAATAAAAACAAATTTAGAATATACCTTCTCTCCTATTCACTACATACCCAACCCTACTGAACTTGTTTCTCTTTTGATATGTTTCTGTTAATGGCACTACCACTTTTTTCAGTGACTCAGGCATAAAACCTTGATATTTTTTATGCCTCCCTCACCTTCTGCAGCAAACCAGTGATTTGCCATGTACTATAGATTTGACTTCTGTCAGGTCTCGTTTTCATCACCACCTTTCTGTTTCTGTTGTTATGCCCTCTTGATAAGTTTCACCTAAGCCCCTGGGGCCTGTCTAGTTTACTCGCTGTTGACCTTTCCTGCCTTACCAGTGGCCAGAGTCATGGTGATGGGAGAAACGGAGACCATCAGAGTTTTAACTCACAGCAGTTATGTAGGGCGGGCTCAGTGGCTCGGCCTGTGATCCCAGTATTTTGAGAGGCCAAGGCAAGTGGATCTCCTGAGCCTGTGGGTTCAAGACCAGCCCAGGCACTTTGGCGACACCTTGTCTCTACAATAAATAAAAAAATTAGCCAGGTATGGTAGTGCATGACTGTAGTTTCAGCTCCTTGGAAGGCTGAGGCGGAAGGATTGCTGGAGCACAGCAGGTCGATGCTGGGGTAGCCATGAGTGTCCCTCTGCACTCCAGCCTGGGTGACAGAGTGAGACTCCAAGTCAAAAAAAAAAAAAAAAAGTCACGTATACCCACGTTATGAAAACCACACATCTCTATGTCATAAACAAGTATATACCAAAAAGGCAAAATAGCACACCCATTGATGACTAACTGCATACATTCTGCCAGATTCATATGAACACAGTTCTGTGTCTAAAAGCCATTGATAATGTCTTCCTTGCTTACTAGGTTTACATTTAAGTCTGTGCTATGTGTCCCTCATTTTTTCTTTTTTTAAGAATTCTTAGTTTTGTTTCTTTCTTTCTTTTTTTTGAGTCAGAGTCTCACTCTGTCGCCCAGGCTGGAGTGCAAGTGGCATGTTCATAGCCACTGCAACCTCGACTTGCTGGGCTCAGGTGTTCTTCCGCCTCAAGTAGCTGGAAGTAGCTGGAACCACAGGTGTACACCACCATACCTGGCTAATTTTTTGATTTATTGCAGAGATGAGGCCTTGCCAAGTTGCCCAGTCTTGTCCCCTGGGCTCAGGCAATCCTCGTACCTCTGTCCCTCAAAGTGCTGGGATTATAGACATGAGCCACTTTTACTTATTTTGTACTTATTATCTACATTCTAATGTAGCAAGACTACTACTTGTTCTCGGAAGGGCCTGTAACTTTCCCACCTCTGATCTCTGCTTCTCCTGGGCCTTTTGTCTTTTTATAAAATCCTGTGTTGCTTTTAAAGTCTGTTTCAGGATCACTCTTTCCTTTGAATTCTGAATGAAGAATTCTGCTAGGATTGCTAGCCAAATAGTCATAAATATGCAACATTTGAATTTCAGAAGAATAGTTCATTAACATTAGTACTTAACTTGTAAACTTGATTTCTTTCTTCTCTCCATACAGCTTTCAAGTGTTCTTTGGGATAGAGAGAGATCAAGCTTTTATATACTGACAAGCGCAAACATCAGTAAATGGGAATTAGATGATTCTTCAGAAAAACTATTACATAGTTGGGATGTAAACAGAGCCCTGAAGGAAAACATTACTGATGCGATTTGGGTAAGGAATAATAATATTCATCTCTGTAATTCACATTTATGTTTGGATGAGAATTACTGGTTCCTTCAGTTTTATTTATTTTAACACATTTTAGTGTAATAAACAGCATAGTATATAGCCATCAGATAAGCAGAAATGAAGTGTGCCATCTCTAGAAATATCAGAACTCACCGATTTAATTGCTTAGTAATTTTTAAAGTGTATATATTATTCATTCAACAACTGAGTGACCACGGGTTAGGCACTTTACTAAGTGCTGGGATATGAAAGTGAGAAGAGATTATTTCTGTGCTCAAGGTGAGAAGAAATTATTTCTATCCTCGAGATGAGAAGAAATGATTTTAAGCTTATGCTACTGATGATTTCCTATAGGGATCTGAAAGCAACTATGAAGCTATCAAAGAAGGAGTCAACATTCGTTATTTGGACTTGAAACAAAACTGGTAAGCAATTAGTTAGTCATAATAAATACAGGTAGTAGTTTGGAAAGATACATTGATATTTTTTATAAAAAGTTTAGCAGTTTCACTGTCCTTCTAATGCTAATCTCTTCATTCTATCAATTAGACCTTACTATGCGGTCTTGCTGTTCTTTATCTAGTGATGCTAGTTCATTTGTGAATTTGAGGCATTTCTCAGCCTTAAACGATATAGTCTCACCTTAGTGTCTCCTTAGTGTCTCTCTCTCTCTCCAGAAAATAGACAGAACTTTCCTGTTCTTTTAACTGGAGCTTGTTTTTCTTCACTACCAAGAGATGTCCGAGACCCTGTCCTTATCCATTGCTGCAGGTGCTCCATGCTGTGATCTCTCTCCTCATTGGTGAGGTCAGCACACGTCTCACCCTCTTTTTGCTGAACGAACTTTAGTAGGCCTACATCTGAGACTGTGCTGAATGAAGGAGGATTGGGAGAAAGTTTAGTCTTGGTAGTACAAGCTAGAACTCAACCATAGTTTCTACTCAGAGTGAATTTCTTTTAGAAGCAATGCTCTAAGTGGTGCTTAAGATTACAGGTTAGTCTATGTTATAAAGTTAAGTAATAGCATGGGATAATACCAATTATCTCATGTTATTATTTAACTTTAACACTAACGGTCATGGAACTTAAAAACCATTTGTAACATGTCTTCTGTAGGAAGGCTCAGAATGAATCCAAATATGTGACTTCTAGTCCTTCAAAACACAATCAGAAGTTAGACTATTTTTTGTGTGTTTCTGGGTAATTTTTACTGTGTTCTTTTACATGTTTTGGTTTATTAGGACCAATTCTACTTGCTTTTAGAGGGTATGCAGTTGTGTCAGTGTGTGTAATTTTTCTCTTAGGCTACTGAGACTGTTAGTAAGCTCCTCCTTCATAGTCTCTGGAAACCTTATACAAGCTATCAGAGAAATAACAGTAACAGTCTGTGAGCATTTTAATGAAATGTAGTTGACCTGTTTTCATTTGTCTTGCCAGACTTTTGGAAACTAAAGACTGCAGCTAGGACACAGCCTATTGGGGGCATATAATGCAGGCGTTTTTACGTACTGCTTTCACAGTTGGACACGTGGGGTTGAGGGCAGAGAAGGGAAGCATGCTGAGCAACGGCTGCCCTGGGTCTGGCCGGGGTCCGCTCCCCCAGTGCTGCCACACTGACTAACAGATTTGGCTTACAATTTTAGTGGAAAGGCTTATAAGTTATTTTCCTAGATTATTGTTGATTCAAAGCTCAGATATTTTCATTTTAGATATAGACTTTGGATGTTTTCTAACATTAAATTTATTACCTTATATATACCTACATAAAAACTTATTTGTCAAATATTTACGGATTACAAAATTCTGAATATCATCCTGTCATCTTCACTATTTAAAATAGCTCCATGGGTTTTCAAACATGAATTTAAAAAAAAAAATAAAGTAGTCCTAGCACCCCTCCCCCAAGGAATCATACTTGTTAACCATGTCTCCATGCCCAGCATCCTTGGAGACTGGCTTCTGTCACTTAGCATGATACATTTGAAATTAATTCAGTAATTTCCTTTTCATTACTAAGTAGTAAGTATTCCATTGTGTGGCTGTACCAAGGTTTATCTATCTACTCAGCAGTAAAGGACATTGTGTTGTTTCCCTTTTAGGCAATTATGAATAAAACAACTACAGGTATTTGTACTCAGTTTTTTGTGTGAACCTAAGTTTTTTTTTTCTCATGGGTAAGTATCTAGGGGTAGGATTGCTAGGTTATGTGGTAAGCATATGTTTAACTTATATGAAACTGCCAAGACCAAGTTGTTTTGCTAAGATACTGTACATCTTTCTCTTTTGTCGGTTAGTGACGGGCTATTGATTTTGGCAGCAGCATGGCACCTAGCAGACAATCCATGCCTCATCTATTACTCTCTGATAACGATAGAAGATAATGGCTACCAAACGCCAGCTGCAGTTACTGTAGAAGTCACTCAGTTTAATCCACCTTTTCAGGTAACATTTACATTTGTAAGTTGAATCACAAAGTGGCAAGAATATGTTGAGTTTTTTCCTAGCAGTTGAAGGGTCAGATTTTTTGAGAGTCATCTTCAGGCTCGGAAATATTTTAAAATAGCTTGTTTTTAAACATTGTTGCATTTCATTTGCCATCTCAGACTTGTTCCTTTCCTCAACTTTGTCTAAAAAGAATGAGAGTAGATGCAACCAGCAGCAAGCAGTTGTTTCTTCTGCTCTGGTCTTTGAAGGGGTTATCATTTATATATATATATATATTTTTTGTTTGTTTGTTTGTTTGTTTGTTTGTTTGTTTGTTTGTTTGTTGAGTTGGAGTCTCACTTGGTCGCCAAGACTGGAGTGCAGTGGCTGCTCCTGGCCACCGCAGCCTTGCCTGCTGGGCTCCGGCGATTCTTCCGCCTCAGCCTTCCCAGTAGCTGGAATTACAGGCATGCGCTACCACGCCCGGCTGATTTTTTGATTTATTGTAGAGATGAGGTCTCACTGTCCGGGCGGGTCTCGAACCCACGGGCTCTGGCAATCCACTCACCTCAGCCTCCCAAAGGTGCGGAATTACAGGCTGAGCCACCGAGCCCAGCTCACTTCTATATTTTTAAGTAGAAAGAAAGTACTGGTAATGAAATACAGGATAAAAGTAAGGAAGAAACCAAGCTAGGCATGGTGGCACATACCTGTAGTCCCAGTTACTAGGAAAACTGAGGCAGAAGAATCTTTTGAGCCTAGGAATTTGAAGTTGTGGTGTATTGTGTTCGTACTTGTGAATTGCTACTGTACTCCAGCCTGGGCAACATAGCAAGATCCCATCTCTAAACAAACAACAACAAAAGTAAGGAAGAAACTTGATAGGAATTAGGGCTTGGTTTTGAGCTCTTTATATTATAGAAAAATCATGTTTATTGCCCAAAGAAGGATTATATTTGTAGACAACAGTGTTATATACTAATCAAAGTTCTTGTAAGCATTTAAAAGGCAGACTCTCCAATTTTAAACTGTTTTTTTTTTTTTTTGAGTCTCACTCTGTCACCCAGACTGGAGTGCAGTGGCCGGGCGGCCACCACAGCCTCAAACCACTGGGCTCTGGCGATCCTTCCGCCTCAGCGTTCCAAGTAGCTGGAACTACAGGCACGTGCTACCACGCCCGGCTCATTTTGATTTATTTTAGAGATGAGGTCTCACCAAGTTGCCCAGGCAGGTCTCGAACCCGCGGGCTCAGGCAATCCACTCACCTCAGTCTCCCCAAGGCGTGGGATTACAGGCTGAGCTACCGAGCCCAGCTCAATTTTAAACTTATTAACAGCAGCTTAACATATTGTTTAATATCTGTGATGAAAAAAAAAATCTGTGTTGTTCATGAGGAAAAGACCTTAACAGCTGTAAATTGATTGATTGATTGATTGAGTTGGAGTCTCACTCTTGTCTCCCAGGTTAGAATGCAGTGGCACACTCATGGCCACCCCAGTGTTGACCTGCTGGGCTCTGGTGATCTGTCCGTCCGCTTCAGCCTTCCAAGTAGCTGGAACGACAAGCATGTGCTTCCACATCCGGCAAATTTTTGACTTATTGTAGAGATGAGGTCTCGCCAAGTTGCCCGGGCTGGTCTCGAACCTGCTTGCCTCGGCCTCCCAAAGTGCTGGGATTACAGGCTTAGCCACTGATCCGGGCCTGCAAATTTATTTTATTTAACCTTATATAGTATCTAATTCTGTTAAATCCTTATTATTTTTTCTTTTTTAAGAGCTAGGTTCTGGCAATGTTACGCAGGCTGGAGTGCAGTGGCTATTCACAGGTGCTATCATAGTGTACTGCAGCCTCCAATTCCTGGGATCAAACCATCCTCCAAAGTAGCTGGAATTGCAGAAGTGTGCCACTGCACCTGACTTAAATCCTTATTCTTAACATGACTTGTTTAACTGACTCCTGTAAGAAAATCTTTTGATTTTTTAAAATTTCAAACAAAAATAAACTTTGTCACATGTTCCAATTATGCAAGGAAAATATGCTAGGTGTTAAAAAAATTTTATACAGAGCAGAAAAATATAAAGAGAATCCAAGAATTAAAAAAAAAATCTTATAACTTTACTTTTAATGTTTTGTTTGTAAAATTACTTCTTTAATAACAGTTGATCGTTTTTAATATTTGCTAATTTTATCATTCAATAAAGTCTTATTTCTCTTTCTGTCTCTGAATATATATGTGAACAAATCCATTAAGTTTTTTTGTTGTGCCCAATTAATATCTTGACAATAAAATAAGAACCAAAATGTTTGTCACAGATCATTTATAAAGAGTTGCCGATTCTTAAATAATGTAATTAATTAATGCTTCATTTGCTTTCTTGAATTTGTTGGCTTTTAGTTATAGTCTTAGCACCATTGAAATGTTTTGAGAATCTGCTAATTATTTGCAGCTTAGCTAATGATTTATCTAACTGATGTTTATATCTTATTCTGTCATGTTTTGTAAGTCATCTCATGGGTAGTGTTTAGGTTTTTACAAGGAGAATCAATGAATTATTTTATCGTTTTTATGAGATAATGTACAAAAATGAGTTATAAAATCCTACAAGTGTTTTTGTATCAATTCTTATTAAATGGAATCTTAACTTCAACTTTTCAGTCTGAAGACCTGGTTATGTGTCAGTTGATGGTCCCAAACTTTTCAAACCAGACTGCCTATCTGTATAATGAAAGTGTCATCTATGTGTGCTCCACAGGAACTGGGAAATTCTGTCTTCCCCAAGAAAAAATTGTCTTTAATACACAAGGTACTGTAACAGTTATGGAAAGTGTGATTAGTGAGCTCAGTAGTTATTCTGAGTGGTGTTTGTTATCTCTCTGTGAGTGTTGTTTAAGCATGTTGCCTCCAAGTGTTACTGAGGCATCTACTACCACACTTACTGCAGCCGAAGCCACAGCCCTACTGATAAACCAAAAGGGAGCTAGAATTCCCAAACTTTTATATTTAGTGGCAAAAAGTTGTAATTGTCCCAGGAGAAGAGGCCAAGAAGGAAAGAACTGCCTCTAAGAGTACTTGCCTGCTCTTAGTTAGTAAGAGTAACTTATTCTGAGTTTATGCTCTTTAAATTAAATAGTCCCTGGATATGAAGAGTCTCAGGTGCTAGACTCATGCAGGGGGGCTCGTCAGGACTGAAAGAAGCCTTCAGATGTTCATCTGGATGGGTTGGGCAGAGGACAGAATCCTGGTGAGGCAACCGCATGGAACCAGCATAAGAACCCTGCGGTAGGGTGGGTAGAGCATTGGTAAGGCACCAAGTAAGCTTAGGCTTTTTTTTACATCTCTGCTGCTGACCTGATAAGTAAAGGCAGAGTTAAGCAAGAGGACTCCCCAGGGTTCAAAAAACTCTCTTCTCACTTTTGCAGAATGAATAATTCTCTTTTCTTTTTTGACTTGCTAGACTCCCTGTCCTCTTGCAAGACTAGTTTTTATGGTCTGCTTAAAGCTGAAAGACACAGAGCCTGCTTCTTCAAGTAGTTGCAGGTTCTTCACATTTGATTCTGAGATTAAAAAGCCGAATTTGAAATAAGAATAGTAATATATATTATCAAGATGCTTTTCTGCTTAGGGTGATAGGTTTTGCAAAGCTTTGTTGTTATATGTATTTTACTGTGTATTTTTCTTTCTTTTAGGAGATAGTATTTTAGGTGCTGGTTCCTGTGGTGGTGTTCCTATCGTTTTTTCTAGAAACAGTGGTCTGGTGTCTATTAGTTTGAGGGAAAATGCATCCATATTAGCAGAAGACCTGGAAGATTCCTTGGCATCTTCAGTTGCTGGACCAAACAATGAGGTAATGTGATTTCATAAGAATTTTTAATTTTTATTTGTTTATTTTGTTTTTTTCAATTTTTGGAGATGGGGTCTTGCTCTGCCACCCAGACTAGAGTGCAGTGGTGTGATTATGCTCACTGCAGCGTCAAACTCGTAGCCTTAAATGATCATTCCTCAGTAACTGAGATCAATCCCAGTAACTGAGATTATGGGTGCAAACCACCACTCCTATCTAATTTTTATTCTTATCAGTGTATTTACACAAATGCGTTAAAAAGTCAGACAGTTTTCATGATGAAAACATAGTTTTTAAAATCTTCCTCATCCTTGCTGTCCTCTTTCCCAGAAGCAACTAGTTGTTGAAGCCTTTTAGCTATTTCGCTTGGTATTTTTCTCCTTATTACTAAGTAATGTGTGTATATTGCTGTCTCCTGACTCATCAGTTTTCAACATCTGTTGGCTTCCTATTATAGAAGATGAGTTTTGGGTTAATTTATACTCCTTCCCCTGCCTTTATCATTCCAGCATAAATTGCTTCCATTGTAATGACAATGTGAATGTTGTACAGTTTGCTGAGCCAAATAATATACTGATGATCTTTCCTTTATTGTACAACTGTGTGTGACTCTTGAAGGGTATAGTGACCTAATTTTATTTTATTTTATTTTATTTT